CCACTAGACTTCGGCTGGTAGAAGGTAGTTTCAACGCTCCCACAACCGACCAACATTTGAACAACGCCCAGCACCTAGCGATACTGACTTTCCCGATATGGACCCCCCTTTGGACGAAACCGTAGGCATTACTGAGCTGGGTAAGTCATCTCAAACGAGTTTGGCGAGTAATGATGCAGTTCCGTGCAGTTCCAAAAATCAAAATTTGCAAGTTGTGCAGACCTCAGAGAAACATTTAGAAAAGGCTACCGTCCAAAGTATCTCTTCTGACCCAGGATTATGGCCAGGGCCGCCGAGAGCCAGGCCGAGCCCCAGGACAATTCTCTAGATCGGGTCCCAGGACAATTTTCTAGAACGTGCCCCGTGACAAAAACAAAAACTTTTCCTCTTCTAGTTGAATTGAGTTTCTAAAAAAAATCCTCAATTCTCCCTCTGCTTCAATTGCTTTTTCTAAAATAACAAAACTTTTCCTCCACTACTTCAATAAGTTTAAAAAAAAAAACAAAAAAAAACAAAAAAAATTCAGTTGTCGGGCGCCCTTTATACCGCTGCCGGGCCCCAATTTGCGATCTGGTACATACTTTTGAGTCATATTAACCCCATCAGCAAACTTTTGCAAACTGGAAATTTTAATATATCACAAGCTATTGATATGCTTAGCAACTGCAAAATCTTCTTTGAAAACCTGAGATCAGATGAAGCTTTTGAAAGCATCATTGACGTGAAAGTTAATTTTGAAACCACCACACCACGTCATCGTGTCAGAAGCAAAACAAGAACGTTTTTGTATGAGGGCCCGGATGAACCCGTTCCAGACCTCAAACAAAAATATAAACTGTATTTTTTTACACTATGGATTAAGCAATAAATGCCTTGGAAACCAGATATAATTTGCTAAATACTCACAGTAATTATTTCAGCTTTTTGTATAATATTTTTGGTCTAAAAGACATGTCCAGAAATGAGCTACTGGCTCATTGCAAAGATTTGGAAGTAGTTTTAACTGATGAAAATTCAAGCGATCTTAACGCCCTGGAACTAGCCGACGAAATAAGCATTGTTTCGTCATTATTAACAAAAAAAGAAACCCCTGTTGAAGTTCTCAAGTTTATCGCTACACTTAAATTCGCACCAAACCTCAGCATAGCATTAAGAATCCTACTTACATTGCCAGTCGCTGTGGCTTCAGGGGAAAGAAGCTTTTCAAAACTAAAAAAATTATCTCAGAACGATGCAGACGCAAAATCGTCTCAATAGATTGGCAATGATAGCTATAGAACACCAAATTAGTGACAAATTAGACTAGAAATCACTGGTTCGTGAGTTTGCCGAAAGAAAAGTTAGAAAAAGGGCATTTTAATTACTTTGGTTAGTTAGAATTTATTTATAATATATTGAACATATTTAAAAATACTTGAAAATACTTGAAAATACTTGAAAATACTTGAAAATACTTGAAAATACTTGAAAATACTTGAAAATACTTGAAAATACTTGAAAATACTTGAAAATACTTGAAAATACTTGAAAATACTTGAAGATACTTGAAGATACTTGAAATTACTTGGAAATTCTTGAAAATAGTTGAAAATACTTGAAAATACTTGAAAATACTTGAAAATACTTGAAAATACTTGAAAATACTTGAAAATACTTGAAAATACTTGAAAATACTTGAAAATACTTGAAAATACTTGAAAATACTTGAAAATACTTGAAAATACTTGAAAATACTTGAAAAAACTTGAAAATACTTGAAAATACTTGAAAATACTTGAAAATACTTGAAAATACTTGAAAAAACTTGAAAATACTTGAAAATACTTGAAAATACTTGAAAATACTTGAAAATACTTGAAAATACTTGAAAATACTTGAAAATACTTGAAAATACTTGAAAATACTTGAAAATACTTGAAAATAATTGAAAATACTTGAAAATACTTGAAAATACTTGAAAATACTTGAAAATACTTGAAAATACTTGAAAATACTTGAAAATACTTGAAAATACTTGAAAATACTTGAAAATATTTGAAAATATTTGAAAATACTTGAAAATACTTGCAAATACTTTAAAATACTCCTCGAAAATTATTTAAAAAAATACTCGAAAGTGCTTGAATATGCTTGAAAACACAAAAACATTTGAACATACTTATACATACTTAAAAACATACTTGAAAATACTCGAGAGTACTTGAAAATACCTTAAAATACTTGCAAATAATAAAAAATACTTGAAAATACTTGATTAGTACTCGAAAATAATTAAAAATACTCGAAAATGCTTAAATATGCTTGAAAATACTTAAAAATATTTGAAAATAATTACAAATACTTGAAAATATTTTATAGTACTTGAAATACCTTAAAATGCTTGAAAACAACTAAAAATGCTTAATAATACTTAAAAATACTTGATAATACTTAAAAATACTTAAAAGTACTTGAAAATATATTAAATTACTTGAAAATTACATTGAACATACTTATACATATTTAAAAAATTACTTGAAAATACTTGAGAGTACTTGAAAATACCTTAAAATACTTGAAAATAATTAAAAATACTTGAAAATACTTGATAGTACTCGAAATTAATTAAAAATACTCGAAAATGCCTAAATATGCTTGAAAATACTTAAAAATATTTGAAAATAATTACAAATACTTGGAAATATTTGATAGTACTTGAAAATACCTTAAAATACTTGAAAACAACTAAAAATGCTTGATAATACTTAAAAATACTTGATAATACTTAAAAATACTTGAAAGTACTTGAAAATACATTAAAATACTTGAAAATACTCGAAAATTACATTGCCAGTCACTGTGGCTTCAGGGGAAAGAAGCTTTTCAAATCTAAAAATAATAAAAAATTATCTCAATGGATCGGCAATGATAGCTATAGAACACCAAATTAGTGACAAATTATACTTGAAATCACTGGTTCGTGAGTTTGCCGAAAGAAAAGTTAGAAAAAAGGGCATTTTAATTACTTTGGTTAGTTAGAATGTATTTATAATATGGGATATAAGTTTAGTTAGCATTACTACATTTCAATTTTTGTTATTTTGCCAGTTCTTTCTAATTCTACCTTTGTTTTAATTTTTATTTTATTTTTTTAACGTGGTCCTGCTAGTTTAATATTAACCTAGCAGCGCCTTTTTGTACAAAATAGGTACTAAGTAATGTAATAGATCTTAATCGATTCTGCCCAGTTCGTCCTGCCAGCTTAAGAGAGGTGTCCTTAGCTTATATCTGATTCCGATAAGGTTTTGACTTTCTCTATACCAAGATCGCGGCACGGACAGACAGACATTGGCACTTTAATATAGTAAATTAAGGGAATAATGAGGAAAAGAAAAAACGGAATATTATTAATCATTTAATTAAGGTTAAATAAGATTATCCAACAAAATAAACTAAATTATTGTATTTGAAGTGCAACACAAAATATAAATATCTATTTTACTTTATAAATAGAAATACAAATCAAACAAATTAAGACACTAGAATATGTTTCTAATTATAAAATAAATCTAAATGGCGATATAGTTAAAAGTACCTAAACATTACTTTAAAAGATAATATGATAAATCTGTAAATATTATTCAAATTCAACAATCAAATTAATCAAAATATCAACGAGAAATGGATTCGCTATTGATATAAATTTAATTTGTATTTAATAAACATAGACATATATGTCATGGATGTTTATACAGTACCTACTTAAACATATGTCAAGAGAAAGCTAAATTGAGGTCACATAAGTGACTCATCTTAAGATTGAGATTACAATTGCATAATAATAATGTAAGTAAAAGTATTTTACTCTATGGAATTTTGAAAACAAATTTTATTCGTACTATATAAATTATATATTTCTATTGTTATGAACAATTAATCAAAGTAAATTTTTGGCTAAATAATAAAATAATTAATTATGCATTAGCAAACAAAGAAATGCTTTTCCCCACGAGCGCAAGAGTTTGAGGCACGAGCCGTGAGAGGAGCGCCGCAAATAAATCGATTTCAAATTTCCAATAGTTCCTTTAACAAGCTTTAATAAATTTTTAAGTGGACTCCCATCTTTATCATTTTCACAAAACCCTTTTAATCCCATGTTTAGTTGGATATCAAAAAAACAAAGATAAAAATAATTATTAGAAAATACGTTTCTATTAAAGGGGGAATGTGTCAAATATACAAATAGTGACATCTATTCGAACAATGGCAAATCTAATTTTTAGTTCGTTTATTTTTGTAGAAGTTGGTTAACCTGTCTATCATAAGTGTCAATTATTCATATATATGTCATATTTCTTGAGTGTGTAATAATCGTAAAAATTACTCGCATAAATTAAAAGAAAATATAAGTTTAAAGTCTTTTTCGATTCTATACCTCCATCCACTGCGACACTAAAATTACTAGAGAATGTTAATACACTAAAAGAAGTCTTCACATTGGTTCATTATCTTAAAAGTGTGCCTACTGATTTCTGTAACACTGTATAAAATATATAAAAAATAAAGTAATAAATAAAAACTATCAAATTGACATCAAATACATTTTATAATAGTTATTTGTGTACCAAGGCCGTAAAGTTGATCTTGAGGCCAAGCAACTTCTGGTTAGGCCAAAAAAGATCATACAACATTTTTTAGGTTAGGTGACTATCCAATCAAGTAGAGCCAATACTTTTTACATTCTTGTGTTTGAAAAGAGGCTTAAATGCAAGAATTGTATCAAATTTTTATTGATCGAATAAAAATCTATTGTTAACTAATAAAAGTTGTACAAAATTGCAAACAATAAGTATGAAAAACTGTGTTTATATAAAATGGCCGTAAAGTAAATGAAGCCAAAAAATGTAAAATGTCATTTTTTGACAATCGCTTAAAAAGTGTTAAAACTAAAAAACTGAAAGTTAATATACCTATACTTTTTTCAGTCTACAAATTGTGAATTATTTTTAGATGTATACCATGTGCTGCAAAAACTATTAATGTAAAAATTACAATTGCTTTTACAATGGAAGCGGTTGAGTTGGTAACTTAATGTTAATATTCTCATTTGCTAGATTTTCTGTGGAACTTTCTATAATAGGATGTATTTTCTTATTATCATTTTTCAACGAATTTTCTTGAATACCGTTAATGCTTGATGGAATAGGTTTCGTATCTGTATCACTGGAACTGTGAAACGTACTTGTAGCAACCGATGAATGTGAAATTGCGACTGTTGTTGTTGGTATAATTGTTTGAATAGAGAGTGTTTGTGGTAATTCACATCTGAAAAAAAAGAAGATATATTAAATGCAGTTTAAGGTCATTTGATAAGATTTTCATGAATATCCATTCTATAATGAAAATGAAATTGTAATTGAAAATAATTGAAAATACTTGAAAATACTTAAAAATACTTGTAACTACTTGAAACTACTTGAAAATACTTGAAAATACTCGAAAATATCTGAAAATACTTAAAAATACTCTGAGAAAACTCAAAAATAAAAAAAAAAACTACTTGAAAATGCATTACAATGCATTAAAATACATTAAAATACTTAAAACTACTTGAAAATACTCAAAAATAATTAAAAATACTCGAAAATGCTTAAATATGCTTAAATATACTTGAAAATACTTAAAAATATTTAATAATACTTAAAAATACTTGAAAATACTTGATAATACTTGAAAATACTTGATAGTACTTGAAAATACCTTACAATACCTGAAAATAATTTAAAATGCTTGATAATGCTTAAAAAATACTTGAAAATACTTGAAAATACATAAAAATACTCAAATATGTTTGAAAATACTTAAAAACATTTGAAACTACTTGAACTTATTTAAAAAACACTTGAAAATACTTGAAAATACTTGAAAGTACTTGAAAATACCTTAAAATACTTGAAAATACACTCACTGGCAGAATTAATCGCCCACCTAATTATTTTTATAAAAAGTTCAAAAACTGTTTTTCTTTTATTTTCTAAAATTGAACAAAAACTTTCATTTTATTGGTATTTGTTTGCTTTTTCAAGATACACTTGACATTAAAAAGTAAAAAAAAAAAATCAAAATTACAAATATCTCCAACTAAATAACAAAACATTGGTTGGGTAGTTAATTATGCAGGTGAGTGTACTTGAAAATACGTTAAAATACTTGAAAATACTTGAAAATACTTGAAAATACTTGAAAATACTTGAAAATACTTGAAAATACGTTAAATACTTTAAAAATACTTGAAAGTACTTGAAAATACTTGAAAATACTTGAAAATACTTGAAAATACTTGAAAATACTTGAAAATACTTAAAAATACTTAAAAATAATTAAAAATACTTAAAAATACTTGAAAATACTTAAAACTACTTGAAAATACTTGAAAATGCTTGAAAATACTTGAAAATACTTGAAAATACTTGAACATATTTGAAAATACTTGAAAATACTTGAAAATACTTGAAAATACTTGAAAATACTTGAAAATACTTGAAAATACTTGAAAATACTTGAAAATACTTGAAAATGCTTGAAAATACTTGAAAATGCTTGAACATACTTGAAAATATTTAAAAATATTTGAAAATACTTAAAAATACTTGAAAATATTCGAAAATACTTGAAAATACTTGAAAATAATTAAAAAATACTTGAAAATGCTTGAAAGTACTTGCAAATACTTAAAAATACCTTATAATACTTAAATATACTTGACAGTAATTAAAAATACTTGAAAATAATTGAAACTCATTGAAAATAATTGCAAATAAATGAAAATACTCTAAAATACTCGAAAATGCTTAAAATGCTTGAAAATAATTGAACACATTTAAAAATTCTTGAAAGTACTTGAAAATACCTGAGAATACTTTGAAAATACCTTAAATACCTAAAAATACTTGAAACTACTTGAAACTACTTGAGAATACTGGAAAATACTTTGAAATACTTTATTTTAAAATACTTTACTTTAAAATACTTTATAATAAATATTTTACTTTAAAATACTTTAAAATATTTTAAAATACTTTACTTTAAAATACTTTACTTTAAAATACTTTACTTTAAAATGATTTACTTTACAATACTTTAAAATACGTTACAATAATTGAAAATACTTCAAATTATTTCAAAATACTTTAAACTACTTCAAAATGCTTCAAAATACTTCAAAATACTTCAAAATACTTCAAAATACTTCAAAATACTTCAAAATACTTCAAAATACTTCAAAATACTTCAAAATACTTCAAAATACTTCAAAATACTTCAACATACTTCAAAATGCTTTAAAATACTTCAAAATAATTCAAAATAATTCAAAATAATTCAAAATAATTCAAAATACTTTAAAATACTTTAAAATACATTAAAATACTTTACAATGCTTTAAAATACTTTAAACTACTTTAAAATACTTTAAAATACTTTAAAATACTTTAAAATACTTTAAAATACTTTAAAATACTTTAAAATACTTTAAAATACTTTAAAATACTTTAAAATACTTTAAAATACTTTAAAATACTTTAAAATACTTTAAAATACTTTAAAATACTTTAAAATACTTTAAAATACTTTAAAATACTTTAAAATACTTTAAAATACTTTAAAATACTTTAAAATACTTTAAAATACTTTAAAATACTTTAAAATACTTTAAAATACTTTAAAATACTTTAAAATACTTTAAAATACTTTAAAATACTTTAAAATACTTTAAAATACTTTAAAATACTTTAAAATACTTTAAAATACTTTAAAATACTTTAAAATACTTTAAAATACTTTAAAATACTTTAAAATACTTTAAAATACTTTAAAATACTTTAAAATACTTTAAAATACTTTAAAATACTTTAAAATACTTTAAAATACTTTAAAATACTTTAAAATACTTTAAAATACTTTAAAATACTTTAAAATACTATAAAATACTTTAAAATACTTTAAAATACTTTAAAATACTTTAAAATACTTTAAAATACTTTAAAATACTTTAAAATACTTTAAAATACTTTAAAATACTTTAAAATACTTTAAAATACTTTAAAATACTTTAAAATACTTTAAAATACTTTAAAATACTTTAAAATACTTTAAAATACTTTAAAATACTTTAAAATACTTTAAAATACTTTAAAATACTTTAAAATACTTTAAAATACTTTAAAATACTTTAAAATACTTTAAAATACTTTAAAATACTTTACTTTAAAATACTTTACTTTAAAATACTTTAAAATACTTTACTTTAAAATACTTTAAAATATATACAGAATGGGCTGCCTAAACCAAAGAAATTATTTTTGAAGAAGAAAATAAAACAAAGAAGAAGCAGGTTGATGTTTAGTCCAAAAGGAACACATACCTACGTGGATTGGATGAATAATTTGTTTATATGTTTATTGATTAATAATTTAATAGCATATGATGTTGCTTTATTAACCAATAATCTAGTACGTACCTGTCTAAATCGTCAGGAATTTTGTGTGGTCGACAACCTTTGACTGCGTATGTAACAACTATCCTAGGATCTTTGACGAAAGTAGTTTGTAACTCCAGCTGTGTGACTGTAACTGTTGGCGCATAAATACCAAAGTATTCGCCCCATCCTAATTTTGTAGTTTCGGTGGCCATCGATTTACCCTGAACGGTTTTGTTGAAAAAGTTTCCCCTGTAAAGTAAAAAAAATATATATATTTTTAAATCAGGAAGAAATCATATGCTTATTTAAAAAAAAGAAATTTTTGTTATTGTTTGATCCACCCTGTATTGTATTAAAATAGAGGAAAGTTAACAAAAATGTTCACCTCATGATAAAAAATAGAGTTGTTGAATTTCACATTTCATATAATTTCAAAACGGTAACAATGGTCCCATCTATGTGAGTTTATAGGAAACAAGTCAAATATTGTGATACAGTTTTCTGTTTGATTGAGATTTACATTCGCCATCTTCTATCCAGTAAATACTAATTTCAAATTTTTAATAAAAAATTTGTTATGTAAGAAAATAGTACTTTATAAAAACCTACTGCTGTTGAATTTGAATATTGTTTAAATACGACCTTACGATGATATTATTTTCTTTTAAAATCATACATTCTATAAAGGTAAATTATATAGTTTCACTACCAACGTAAAGATGGCACCACCGATGCTATTCTTAATATAAAATTATAAGCAGTTTAATAATAAATACATAATCATACTTTTCTAAATTATTACCAGTATTTTAATTTAATTCTTTCTTATTTTCATAAATAGGTATATACAATTGAAATAAATATCTAGTTCCTTTTTAACTTTTGATTAAAAATGTCTGATGTCTGAACTCTAAACGTTCCAGTCCGAAAGTAAACGAAACAGAACGACACGTACATTCACCGCTACGGCACAGCGAACACCAGCACAGCTAACGTAACAAACAATATCTAGCGTCAGTCAGAGTTTTAATAAATATATCAGTTATTTTGTCAGTACCTAATAATGAATTGCAGAAAGTTAATTAAGTGCGTCCAAAAGAATCCCGAGTTGTATGATTACTATGATATCAAGTATAGTAACCAACAATATAGAGATATCGCGTGGGCAAGAGTAAGTGAAGAAGTTAGGCAACCTGGTAAGTAAAATTTTCGGTGGCTCGTTTTGTGTGTCGTTTCTACAGCTTGTCGTGTCGTATTTGTATTGCGCAGCATAGATATTGTACACTACACTGCTACGTACCTAATTCGGTCAGAAACGGATGAGGTTTTTCAATGTAACTAATTTTTAAAATTTGTTGACGCCAATTTCAATGACTGTTTAATGAAGGTAATGTAATAGGCCAGTCACTAGAGATAATCAATTCACATTAATTACAAAAGTTTTCAAACTTTCTTGGAATATTTATTAAATTGAAATAATTGTAAATTTAATTTTGCGACTTTTTTTGAAGTCCGGAACATGATTTTTTTGTTTATATCATACACCAAAAAATTGCAAAAGTGCTGCAAATCCGTTCAGAAAAAAGTCGATAAGTTTAAAGTCGATATTCAAATTATAAAAAGTGCCCAAGACAAAGAAACAGAAAACTCTGCTAATAGAATCAATACAAACAATGGTTGGACTTTTGGAATTCCTGAAAATACAGACAACGAAATATCACTTGTTGAGGAAATTATCAAGATTGTGAATCCCAATTTCGATATTGATGGATGCAAAATTTGAAGATTAGGAGTAGTAAATAATAACAAGTGCCGCCCTGTAAAATTAATGATGAATGATAACTCAAATCATACAAAATTGATAAGAAGCAATAAGAAAATCCAGTCAGAAAATTTTAAAATATATACATTACAAACTGTCTTACAGATGAGCGAACACTTCACTAAACTTCGACAGGATCTAAAAGATCGTCAGGGTAACGGAGAGGAAGATCTAATTATTAAATATAGAAATGGTTTTCCATATATTACAAAAAAAAAAAAACTAGATACGTCCAGCAGTTCTTATATTCCCCATAACAATGTACTATTAAGTCATAGAAATAGTATAGAAAACCGATTCCATATATCAAAAATGAAACCATAAGGAGAAAATAGTGTGTCGGAGCTCATGCGTATAACGGTGCTGGCGCGAACAGGACCGGTGCAAGTTTTTTATTGATCGAACAAATAGTTCACACGATATTTCAATAATACATTTTTAGAGATGATTCTATAAAAAAAACGATTAAAAAAATTTCAAGTTAAGGTAAATATGGTTCTGACAGTCCTTATTAAGAAAGATATGGCATAAAATATGAATTAGTTAATTTTCGGCAATCATTAGTACAGTAGTCATGAGATTATGCTTGTGATTTTAAAAATACTTTCCAGAAAAACCACGTGCTCCGGTTTTGACTACGTTTATTATTAAACAGCGAAATGACATACAAAAACTTTAATCCACAATCTAAATTAGGTACTATCACAAGAAAATCACTGTTACAATAATTAATTACTTAACCAAAAACTAAAATACTTTTTAGGTACCTACGTAACCAGAAAGGAGCTGGACCATTTATCCTAATATTGATTTTCTCTCTCCCTACGGTAAAACTTAAAACAATAACAAATTGCCTATCTACTAGGGTCGGTAACTAAACGTATATACATAATGGGCGGATTTTGTTTATACTTAACATTACACTCGCGCATTTAAATATAACTATGCATATAAATATTTACAAATAAAGATACTTTTCCAAACAGGCAATCATTAGTACTGTAGTCACGAGATTTTGCTTGTGATTTGACATCTTATTTGATAATATCATTTGCTACAACTAAATTTAATCTGGGGAGTGCAAAATAGGGCCCAGGAATATTATGTTCGATATTTTTTTACATTTTGTCAGCCGAGACTATGAGTCGTTAGACAGAAAACCTTTCATGTTACCATTTTCAATATAAATTAAAAAATTAAAAAATACTACTACATTTACTTGGTACATATTTTATTTTAATTTTGAACCCTTTTAAAAGGGTCTTTCGGTTCCATAATAAAAATTAGTTGCTGCTTACTAGAAACATTCTATATAGCCTAAACCAATTTATAGTTTGTTTTCGAACAATTTAATACAAAGATTTAAAGTTTTTAGTCGATGATAACATTCCACACCAGCAAATTGCAAACCTATTTTATAAATAATAGGAATAAACTTGTAAATCATTAATTTGTTAGTTATCTCACTCATATGATTTTTTTGTTTATATGACTATTTCGATTTCTAAATATATTTTGGCCTTACAATACGAAGCGTTTTGTATCTACCACTTTTTTAATGAACGATGAATGTTGACAGGCGTGTACCTTTTTCGGAACAAGAGGCGTTTTAACGAAGGAAATGATTTTCGAACTATCTAGTTAGTTTTCGGAAAAATAGAAAACGTTTGAAGAAAGTTGTCAATAACAGTTTGTCGTTCATGTGTTTCATTTTGATCAGCTTTCATGCTAAATTGCGTAGAATATTTTTCCGATTCAAAATCGAGATTCTCGATATTTCCACAGTTTATTTATAATACCTTCTAAACTGGATTTATCTATCATTTTATATACTTTATAATATATGTTCATGCCCTACTTTTCACTTTATTAACAATTTTTTTTTAACATACTTCAAAATGGTAGGATATTCTCAATTCGTTGATATATTTTTTTATGTATGTTGAGCGATAATTCTTTACCACGTTGCCCGATTTCTAGGATTCTTTTTGTTAGAAAAGGAAACATTCAGTCAAGATCTGAAGATGGGATCCATAAGAAAATCATTAACATCTTTATTTTTAAAGTAGGTTTTTTTTTTAATTTCTTTAAACCTTACTGGTTCGAACGCGGTAAGGAATGAAGAAATGTAAATAATTGTTGTGTCAGCCAAAAAGCGAAGAGGAAGTACCGATTAAAATATCGAGTGACAGAAGAGTTCCTAAGATTGTTGAGATCGGGTTTATGTTTTAAAATGCCTTAAAACCGATATCGATAATGTCTCCCCGTCGCTGGGCAGCCTGTATTTAAATATACAGCTCTCTATTTACATAATTATAATTCTTAGGTAGGTTTAGATTTGCAGACATAAATCTTGTAATAAATATAACAGCTGCCTAATACATTGATTACATTTTCATTAGCCAATGTAAAAATGTCTTTTATTGTACCTAGGATTTGACTAAACACTACACAAAACTAAAAATAAAATGCCACTTTCATCATGTAATTAATGCCGCGTTTGAGAATCCACATCGGATGCATTTTTTACATCTCGAGCGTTTTTTATCCACATCGGACACATCTGTCCCATTACATTTACGTATACTGAATCACGTGATCAAAGATTTACTACTACTACATCTCAGATGCATCCGATGTGGATTCTCAAACGCGGCATAAATAATAAACTACAAACGGTCCTGTAAGGGCAGCGTCATATAGCCTTGAAACACCGGATTTTAGTGCTATTGCCAGGTCAATATTGAATTTGTAGGTGAATCGCTTATTGAACATTAAAAATACGGTATTAATGACATTAATACGGTATTTGTATATATTTTTGGGAATGTAATTACACATAAATATTACTAGTTGATTATTTAAATGTTTATAAGTTATTTTGTGGCGATATTTCATAGATATAAACTGTTTAAATCATATAATTTAAAAATTAATTAATTTAAAATTCTTTTCTGTTAGGTATGTTCAATATATTTGGCAACACTACAGGGACAAGTTATGCTTATTGCGCAAGCTTCTAGACACACTATTTTGCGATGTCAGGCGCAGAGACGCGTTTTTATGCACAGTAGGTTTCAATTTCTGCTTAAATGTTATGTTTATATTGGTCTTCTATATTATTTCTATGTATTAAGTTACCAAAACTGCAGAGGTTTAAATACAAAAACCCATATTTTCTTTAAAAATGTTCTTGCATTTTCCTGCGGTATAATATGGCTGTTACGCTGTTTACAATAGTGAATTATTTCCTGATAAATTAGATGTTTACCGCAAGGATCGCTCGTATAGCAAAGTGGGTGGTGGTGTTATGTTGGCAATTGATAATACCTTATTTAAATCTGAAGTGTATGAAATGAACTGCCCACTACCCATAATTGATGTATTATGTGTCAAGCTATTCACCTACAACTCCAAATACGTATTATTGTTGTATGTATTCCACCATCAACAACTATCGCACGGTATGATGAATTCTTTGATTTTTTTTATGAACAATTTGAATTGGAGATTTCAATATAACTGCACTACATCGTTTTGTAAATTTTGTAAGTCTCTGTGACATTAACCAGTTCAAACTCTCTGAATCTCTGAAACTCGGATCAAAACATAAATATGTAAGCCCAATTAGTAAAACTATCACAAAATTAATATATTAAACGTGAAGGACATTTGCAAAATTCATGTCTTAATTTTAAATTCAAATTAATGTGAAAAATGGGAAAACATTTATTGATGAGAAGACTTGTCAATAATGTTCAAACATTCATTCGTTTTTCTATGATAATTGCTTCAGCAAACATCTAAAAAAAATGGTTGGTATTTATCACATTAACTACTGTGATTGCAAATGAATTTTCCGTTTTGTTTAGGAACTTTTATTGTTTAGAAACTCTTCCTACCCTTATAAATGCGTCCGTACTCCTTCTCATTGATGCGCAAAGTATTTCTTACAGTTTCAAATTCATGTATTATCCGATTTCGTAAGTGATCAACGTTATTCATTGGTGTTGTATACACTAGAGATTTGAGATATCTCCATAGGAAAAATCTAGACTATTTAAGTCATGCGACTTACAGAAAATTGTTTTTAATTTTTTTCTTGATAACGAAAAAAGTTTCTAAACAAAAAAGTCTAAACAAAACAGGAAATTGTTTTTATATTTTAGAATTTTAATTTATATTTTAGAATCTACCAGCGGCGCACAACCAAAAAAAATTCAGGAGGAGAAAAAGGGAAAAGAACTCTTAAAAAAATATTACCCTGTAGATTCAAAAACCATCTGACATACCCAATAATGTATGCCCTATAGCGCAATTTAGATTCCCAATTTGAGCTAAATATATCAAAAACTACAGTAAAACAAGACAAATCTTGAAATTTCAACACCTTGTAGTTTGTGGACCTATGTTTATACAGTATGTTCGCTATACTTACGCAAGTTTCAAATTAAAAATTTTATGAGTATTTCCAGGTAAGTACCCGAAAGTTTGACGTGTTCTTTGGGGAAATATCAACTGGTTAAATGAAATGAAAAATAATGTACAACTTTTTAATTAAATAATAATGAAGAATCTTTTGTATAATTGAGAGCAGAATAAAACTTTTTCATTAATGGAGTCTAATGTGGCTATTATAAACCTAATAATAATTTTATATTACACTTCACACAGAAAATATGGTCTATGTATAATAAGATGGTTATTTCGCTCAAATAAAATATTTTCCAACATAAAAATTTGTTCCATGTAGAGAATTTCAAATGAAAAATAAAAAAAATTAACTTGCCAACAAAAATGAAAATCAGTCATTATCATCCAAAATATCATAATCGTCATCATCATCACTGTCATCACCATTAATTGTTATTATGATTGGACTTATTTCGTTTATTTTATTTTCACGAGTCCACCAATCTTCTATTAGTTTCTCGCACTTGGATATACAGTTCCGCCACACTTTTGGAGTTGCAATTGAAAGTGCTTTTCGCCAAGTTCCCCGAACTGCGTCGTCACTATAACCATTAGGCCCAATATGGTTGTCATATTATTGTTTTGCTATTCTCCATATATATTCGATGGGATTAAACTGGCAATGATACGGTGGCAGACGTAAAACTTGATGACCGTAACTTTCAATAATCTGATCCACAACAAAGGTTTTTGGTTTTGCGTGTATATTTGCCAAGCGTAATAATTCTGATTTTTATACACCGTGTCCCACGTAAGGCGGGCATTACGACTTTATGGAGAATAAATTAATTTGTATTTTCGCCATTTTCTGAGTATACATAATCGAATATGCTCTTTTGAATTAAAATAAAATGAACTCTGTGCAACTTCCGGTTATACCGGAAGTGACCACTAACTTCGTTATTTTAAAGGGAATACCCCATATTTTTTTTTAATTTTAGATTCAGCATGAAATTCTGTAAACAACGATACCCCATTTGCCTATTCTAGTTATAGCGGATTTGGCGTTATTCAATTTTTTTCTACATTTTTAGTCGCCGGTAGACATTTTCTTAAAGTCGTCTATCTCAGGTACTGTATCTATCAGATACTTAAAATTTTAACCAGAGGTAGTAGATGGGATGTACTTCTTGAGAATATTTAGTTATTCATTATTTGTTGTACGGGGTGTTTGCAAATTATTTTTAAAAATGAAATTTTTTAAACATAAAAAACTTTTTTATTTTAAATTGAACACCCTATATATTTTTTAAATTTTAGATTCAGCATGAAATTCTGTAAACAATAATACCCCATTCGCCTATTCTAATTATAGTGTATTTGGCGTTATTCAGTTTTTTATAAACTTTTATATGCCGGCAGACATTTGCTTTTTTAAATTTACTTATACATCGTTTGTTCGACTGTGTGTTTGGAAATTATTTTAAAAAATAAATATTTTAAACATGAAAATTTTTTTAATTTTAAATGGAAAATCCTGTATATTTTTATTTCATTTTGTTCAGAAAATTATTCTTCATTGATCTTCATTTGCACTATTAATTCCCTATAATTATCTCTCGTCAATTTTAAGAAAATTTAAATTTAAATTTTACGCATGCACCTACATAATATAGTATAGTTTTACATTTTAATTTTTTATCTTAGTATGCCGTGGAAATATGCTAAACAACAATCTGTCAACAAACTGAATTGTCATATTTCTATGTATTTAAGTTGTGTATTTTTTGCGTTCAAAATATGGAAAATATGGAAAATATTGAAGAATATACCAACCAAGATATTCCTAATTTATTTTGTGGTCAGACGAGTCGAAATTTACACGTAAAGGGATCATCAATCGCAAGCAATGTCATTTCTGGGCAAACGAAAATCCACATTTTTATCGTGAAGCACAATTTCAGTACGAATTTAGTTTTAATGTGTTTGCAGTGATCGGTTTTGGAAGAGCTTTTTGTTACATTTATAATGAAAGACTGACCTCAGAAAGATACATTAGAATTCTTAGAGAAGTAGTTGCCGACATTTTAAACCAGCTACCAAATAATAATTTTTGGTACCAGTTGGATGGTGCCCCAGCACATTCAACATACTATGTAAATCAAGAAATTACAGCATTCTTTGAAGACCGATGGATAGGTCCAAATGGTCCTTGGCTTTGGCCTGCAAGATCGCCAGATCTAACTCCTGTTGATTCTTTTATGGGGTCATATTAAAAATTTAATGTACTCTACCCAAATTAATACTAAAGAAGAATTAGAGCAAAGAGTTCGGAATGCCTTTAACGAGTTAGATGGTGAAATTATTCGTAAAGCAACAACTAATCATGTTGAAAAAAGATTGTTAAAATGTTTAGAAGCTAACGGGGGGCATTTTGAACATTTGATAAAATTATTTTTTTAAACCATGTGCTTTTAATAAAAATTGTTTTTAGTTAGTATGTACTTTATCATTAAAAAAAATTTAAACTTTTTAAACGACATATTTTGTTGCAGAAAACTGTAAATGTTTTTAAAAGCACATCCTATCTACTACTTCTGGCTAAAATTTCAAGTATCCAACAGAAATAGTACCTGAGACAGTCGACTTTAAGAAAATGCCTACCGGCGCGACGACTAAAAAATAAAAAAAAAAAATAAATAACGCCAAATCCGCTATAATTAGAATAGGCAAATATGGTATCATTGTTTACAGAATTTCATGCTGAATCTTAAATTTAAAAAATGTATAGGGTGTTCCCTTTAAAATAAAAAAGTTTTTTATGTTTAAAAAATTTCATTTTTAAAAATAATTTGCAAACACCCCGTACAACAAATAATGAATAACTAAATATTCTCAAGAAGTACATCCCATCTACTACCTCTGGTTAAAATTTTAAGTATCTGATAGATATAGTACCTGAGATAGACGACTTTAAGAAAATGTCTACCGGCGACTAAAAATGTAGAAAAAAATTGAATAACGCCAAATCCGCTATAACTAGAATAGGCAAATGGGGTATCGTTGTTTACAGAATTTCATGCTGAATCTAAAATTAAAAAAAAATATGGGGTATTCCCTTTAAAATAACGAAGTTAGTGGTCACTTCTGGTATAACCGGAAGTTGCACAGAGTTCATTCTATTTTAATTCAAAAGAGCATATTCGATTATGTATACTCAGAAAATGGCGAAAATACAAATTAATTTATTCTCCATAAAGTTGTAATTCCCGCCTTACGTGGGACACGGTGTATATATTGAGGAAATGGTATATGTTCCTTTGTCAACCATTCTTTAATTTTATCAACAGTCCAAGAATTGTTTGGACTTTTGTTTAATACTTTAGAATGGTAAGGTGCATTGTTTAAAATAATTACGGTGGGCTCACTTTAACCTGTGAGAAATTTTTCATGCAATCATTTTACAAACATTTCTGTGTTCATATTATCGTGATAGTCACTGGATTTTGATTTAGGTGAAAATATTAAATCAGCACCTTCTATAAAACCCAATTTCCCACCTGCATGTAAAATAATGTGTGGCTTCCCTTCTCCATCGGTATGTTTGATGGACTTTACGTTATCATCTTACCATATTCTCTTGGTTGACCCCTAGAAAATATCCATGTTTCGTCTAAATATATAAAATTCGCCCCTTTTTCTTTAAATTTAGAATATTTTCTTAGAAAGTTAATTCTCTTGTGCACGACAAAACTTCTTTCACAAAGGGCCTTTCTGTTATCCTCCTTTTAAAATTTGAAACCCAAGTTATGTATCACTTGCCATAGACTTGTTCTGCCAATGTCGTCAAATTTTCTATCTATTAATTCCGAGAGAATTGTATTTAAGGTCACATGTTTCTTGTTGGCCCTCATTCTATAAATGGTATCACGAATTTCAAATTTCTTTCCATCTGGAATATCTTTCGTTTTCAATGATGGGTGAGTTTTGCGGTGATCTTCTTTCGGCAGTTCACTATTGTGATTTTGTAATACTCTTCTTAATTTGGTTTCACTAATTCCTAGAGCATCGCATACGCGTTGTTGTACAGACATTACCGATTTTAAAGGACCGCCATTTTCTTTTTCATCCGTAAAATACTTATGTACACTACAAATTAGACTATCTACATCTAACACACATCTGGGCATTTTTAAAATTTCCACTAAATTTACAATATACATACAATGTCAACACTTGCATAGAATCAATTCGACTGCAATATTTGTTATAAATTTAGTACCTACCCTAATGTTATTTTAATTTAAATCTGACCATTAGGGCAATTTTACCTTATTTCTTGGGAAGAGGCTTATTGGAACTGGTTATCAATGACTAATTTGCATAATTTTGTTAATCCGAAACCCGCGTAAGTATAGCGAATAGACTGTATGAACTTTTATTCATGAAATAAGCCCCTTTCTTATGTGCACGATGTTACGGAATACCCTATATATTAATTCAAATTTGCAGCACTTTTGTAATTATTGTGAAATTTTCAAAATGCGGTGACTGGCTTAATACAGCAATGTTGGTTATAAAATATTTTCTTTCCTAACTTCTCAGTGAGTTAAAACCTCTAAAATTTGTAATTTTAAATTTTTTGAAATATATTTTATAATTACAGCACAGGTATGCAAAAAGAAGTGGCTTTGCCTACGAGATACGTACAGAAGAGTATTAAGAAAACGAAAAGACATGTTAAAGAGCGATCCATTAGCAAAACCACGAAAATGGACATACGAAGATGATATTCACTTTCTTCTCCCTCATTTTCATGAAAAACCAACAAAAACGGACCAAATAAAAGTCGAAGATGTGGAATTCGAAGAAAATGACGTTCTAGAAGATAAATCTGATTTCTTCGAAGAAGCGCCAGATAATTTTACAGTTACTCATTTCGAAGACAACGAAACAAAGGGAATGCAATCGGTATCTGAAGTCAATTCCGAAATTAATACAAACGCTACGTTAAAAGAGGATGTAACTATGCATCTTACATCTGAAACATTAGTAACTTTTTTATTGAAAGAGTTGGAAGATAAAACAAAAATTATCAAAGAATTAGAAAACAAATCAAATAATGGTGCTAATAGCACCAATGAAGATTTTTTTGCTGCCATTAGAAAAACTGTTAATAATTTCTCGATGATTAATCAAAATATCGTGAAGTCTAAAATTTTCTCTGCTGTTTCGGAAGTGGAATTAAAAGAATTGAAAGAAAAACAAATAGTTGATGTAAAAAATGGGATTCAGTGTGTTGAATTTATTGATCAAGTTTAATTTAAATTTAAGTTACTAAATAAAATTTATAAAAGAAAGTGTCCTAGTCTAATTTATCAAGGTGTAACTCAAAATATAAATTTTTAGAAAATTCCGTTCAAAGTGGGTAAGTTTACTTAGAAAACTAAATTTTAAAAAACGAACATATTAAACATGGAAAAACTGGTCAGATTCTATTTTCAAAATAACGTATTTGACCATTTTTTAAAAATTCAGTTAACCAAGTTATCTATTTATAGATCATAACAAAGTCATAGTCGTACATATTTAAGTCGACGCCAAGAGTGTAAGAAAATTAATTAAAAATAGGTTTCTTGTATTACCAAATAAATTTATTTATGACGATAGCCAAATAGCTTTTAAAATATAATTTGTAAGTTTTTGGGTTCCTAAAAATGTAGACTTACCACCATAGACGTCGTTATACAACTCTATAGGGAGGGGCAAAATTTTGAAAAAATTTAGAATGTTTATTTGTTGAAAAACAAAGAAAATGAAAAATAAAAGACCCCAACAAAAAAGACAAAAACTAAAATAAAAAAAAAACAAGAAACTTAAAACATATTTTTAAAAAACAAACAGAACGTATAAAGTAAAACAAAAATATGAACAAGAAGACAGAGCCATACATAATAAAAAAAAAAAATATTTATAGAAACCCAAAACCAAAAAACACTAGGAAAACGCAAATTTTTAATTTCTTCTTCCTCTACCTAAAATAATCGATAAGAGAAAACCTAATTTCTTTTTAGTTTTTTGCGATTATTTTTTGATGTACGCTCATCATGCAAAGCGCAGTCAACCTATTTTCATTCATTATTCGCTCTGTTGTGCGTGACATCAGCGCCAACAAATTCATGAACTAACGTACGATATTTGCGTATACTGACAATACAATTTTTAATGGAATTCCTAATTAAAAAATATATATGTTGATTTTAATAGAAGTATATAAATTTGTAAAACAAGTGAAAAAATTAAATATTATTATACACCGTGTCCCACGTAAGGCGGGCATTACAACTTTATGGAGAATAAATTAATTTGTATTTTCGCCATTTTCTGAGTATACATAAACGAATATGGTCTTTTGAATTAAAATAAAATGAACTCTGTGCAACTTCCGGTTATACCGGAAGTGACCACTAACTTCGTTATTTTAAAGGGAATACCCCATATTTTTTTTTTAATTTTAGATTCAGCATGAAATTCTGTAAACAACGATACCCCATTTGCCTATTCTAGTTATAGCTGATTTGGCGTAATTCAATTTTTTTCTACATTTTTAGTCGCCGGTAGACATTTTCTTAAAGTCGTCTATCTCAGGTACTATATCTATCAGATACTTAAAATTTTAACCAGAAGTAGTAGATGGGATGTACTTCTTGAGAATATTTAGTTATTCATTATTTGTTGTACGAGGTGTTTGCAAATTATTTTTAAAAATGAAATTTTTTAAACATAAAAAACTTTTTTATTTTAAATTGAACACCCTATATATTTTTTAAATTTTAGATTCAGCATGAAATTCTGGAAACAATGATACCCCATTCGCCTATTCTAATTATAGTGTATTTGGCGTTATTCAGTTTTTTATAAACTTTTATATGCCGGCAGACATTTGCTGTTTTAAATTTACTTGTACATCGTTTGTTCGACTGTGTGTTTGGAAATTATTTTAAACAATAAATATTTTAAACATGAAAATTTTTTTTATTTTAAATGGAAAATCCTGTATATTTTTATTTCATTTTGTTCAGAAAATTATTCTTCATTGATCTTCATTTGCACTATTAATTCCCTATAATTATCTCTCGCCAATTTTAAGAAAATTTAAATTTAAATTTTACGCATGCACCTACATAATATAGTATAGTTTTACATTTTAATTTTTTATCTTAGTATGCCGTGGAAATATGCTAAACAACAATCTGTCAACAAACTGAATTGTCATATTTCTATGTATTTAAGTTGTGTATTTTTTGCGTTCAAATTATGGAAAATATGGAAAATATTGAAGAATATACCAACCAAGATATTCTTAATTTATTTTACATTCATGGAGAATGTAATCGAATCAAAAGTAGAACCTGCCGCATGTTTAATGAACGATACCCTCATTTACCACCAATGAACAGACAGAAATTTGATAGAATCGAAGCTAACTTTTTGAATAATTTTAAACAAAACCCGGGAAGAAACCGTCAACATTATGTCCGAGATGAAGAAGTTATTCTAATTAACGTATTAGGGTATGTTACTGCGTATCCTCACGCCTCCATTAGAATGGCTCAAGATAATTTAAATATTAGTCGAGGGTCAATACAACGAATTTTAGCACTAAATAAATGGCATTCCTATGCACAAAGAAAAGTTCATGAGTTGCGAGATGGAGATCAAATAAGACGAACTGAATTATGCGAATGGTTATTGGTACGAATTCAAGAAGATCCCGAGATTTTAAACAAAATTTTGTGGTCAGACGAGTCGAAATTTACACGTAAAGGGATCATCAATCGCAAGCAATGTCATTTCTGGGCAAACGAAAATCCACATTTTTATCGTGAAGCACAATTTCAGTACGAATTTAGTTTTAATGTGTTTGCAGTGATCGGTTTTGAAAGAGCTTTTTATTACATTTATAATGAAAGAATGACCTCAGAAAGATACATTAGAATTCTTAGAGAAGTAGTTGCCGACATTTTAAACCAGCTACCAAATAATAATTTTTGGTACCAGTTGGATGGTGCCCCAGAACATTCAACACACTATGTAAACCAATAAATTACAGCACTCTTTGAAGACCGATGGATAGGTCCAAATGCTCCTTGGCTTTGGCCTGCAAGATCGCCAGATCTAACTCCTGTTGATTTTTTTTATGGGGTCATATTAAAAATTTAGTGTACTCTACCCAAATTAATACTAAAGAAGAATTAGAGCAAAGAGTTCGGAATGCCTTTAACGAGTTAGATGGTGAAATGATTCGTAAAGCAACAACTAATCATGTTGAAAAAAGATTGTTAAAATGTTTAGAAGCTAACGGGGGGCATTTTGAACATTTGATAAAATGATTTTTTTAAACCATGTGCTTTTAATAAAAATTGTTTTTAGTTAGTATGTACCTTATCATTAAAAAAATTTAAACTTTTTAAACGACATATTTTGTTGCAGAAAACTGTAAATGTTTTTAAAAGTACATCCCATCTACTACTTCTGGCTAAAATTTTAAGTATCCAACAGAAATAGTACCTGAGACAGTCGACTTTAAGAAAATGCCTACCGGCGCGACGACTAAAAATTAAAAAAAAATGAATAACGCCAAATCCGCTATAATAAATAAACCAGTAATAGATATACCTGAGAATTTATGCAATGTTCAAGAAATTAATAAATACTTCATTAATATTACTAATTCTAATAAAGTACCTGATGATGATCTACTACAATTTTATCAAAACACTACTATTCTAAATGAAGGAAATTTTTCATTTAGTCATATATCCGATGAGGAATGTTACAAACAAATGTTATCAATAAAAACACAAGCCGTGGGTGTGGACAAAATTAATATCAAGATATTATTATATTGTTGTCCTTTAATTATCCCTTACATAACTCATATATTTAATTTTATTCTAATAAATGCTTGTTTTCCTGACCTTTGGAAGAAATCATTCCTCTTCCAAAGAAATCATCTCCTGAGTCATATTCTGATCTACGACCCATAAGCGTTTTATGTTGCATATCCAAAGTATTTGAAAAAATTCTAGACAAACAAATTAGAAAATATTTATGCACTTATAATCTACTTCCTTTGAGTCAGTCTGGTTTTCGCAGTGGCTTTAGCTGTACCACAGCATTACTTAAAGTTACTGATGACATTCACAGAGCATGTGATAATAATCTGTTGACCATTTTAATTCTTCTTGATTACTCGAAAGCTTTTGACCTCATTAATCATTCACTTCTTTTGGCTCTCTTGCACTTTTTTGGATTTACGTATAATTCTATTAATTTCTTCAAAAGTTATCAAAACAATCGATGCCAGGCAACTGTCATAAAACAAAACTCGTCTGATTTTTCTTTTATTAATTCTGGTGTTCCCCAGGGGTCAATACTAGGTCCACTTTTATTTGTTATGTATGCTTCTCAATTACCTTCTGCTCTTCAAAACTGTCAGATTCACACTTATGCAGATGATACGCAGCTCTATTACTCTTTTGAAGAGAAAAATATTCAGGATGCTTGTAATAAGATTAATGATGACATTTTGTCACTCGTTCATTTATCTGATAAGCACTGTCTAAGCATAAATCCCTCTAAATCAATAGTTCAACTTTTTGGCCGACCCGTTGCAAGAAAACGTAACCTTAAATATTAGCTTAAATGGAGATCTCTTAATGCTGCATTCCTCTGCAAAAAACCTAGGTATACATATAGACAACTCACTACGATTTTCATCCCATATATCAATCATTACAAAAAGGTCTTATTGCAGTTTAAAATTATTATACTCTAATAAGAGTTTACTTAATAAAAAAACTAAAATAATGCTGTGCGACTCACTGGTTTTATCACATGCAAACTACGGAGACGTAATTTACGGACAATCCTTATTAAACAGTGATAAAAAGAGGTTACAAAAAATTCAAAATTCATGTGTACGTTTTGTTTGTGGCTTGAACAGAAGAGATCGTGTTTCCGCTCATTTAAAAGAATTAGGCTGGCTCAATATGGCTGAGAGACGAGCATTACACGCATGCTCGCTCTTTCAAAATATTTTAAATTCTGCAACACCTCCTTACTTATATAATAAAATATCTTTTCGATGTGATGTACATAATATAAATATACGGTTTAAATCCAAACTCACACCACCACTTCACAAAACTCATCTATTTCAGAGATCTTTCACTTATTACGTATCTTGGCTTCTTAATAGGTTACCCATGCATTATCTCAGTTTAAACAATATTAGGTTAAAAAATTATGTAAAACGAGATTTAATG